TGATACAAATGTCAATCATTATAATGTTAAAAAATCCTATTTCTGACATGGTTATATTCCAGCTATATTACTATAAACAAAACTATATATCTTAAATTTGATAACTAACTGGGACTGTGCCATGCATGGCTTGTTATTATTATTACATGCATGCAACATCACCTTTGAATATTGTAATTGATAACTCACAATTCCTTCTTTACCCTTACCTAAGTAATAGTGCAATATTTTGTGTATTTTTGACTCCCAAAATGAGTCTTTGCAGTTAGTGCATCTTTAGGGACCTTTATTGTGTTGTCAGATAAGATAAATGACCAAAATATTAAGTCATCATAAATGGTCATGATTTCATTAAACATTTATAATTAAACCATAGCTACTTGGAACCACCCTGATCATTGCTTGCAGTTGTATTTTCAAATGCCATATTTGCTATATTAGAAGCGCTAATGCTTCAATGTGCCGTAAATACAATGGCTAGTCTATAGTCAAAATACTGTAAAACATGTCTGTTTCGCGAGCATGTCTTTTTAGCGAGTTTAGTGAGAGAACTAATTTGCTAATTTAAGATGTCGCTAATTCAAAATGGCGGCCAAACAGCTTTTTCTCTACACACACACTTTGTTAACAACACGGAAAACGTAATTCTCTGGAGCGCTTCCTTATTACAGTTGACAGTTTTTCTTTGTTTTTATGGAGCTGATAACTGCGCATTTGTTTTGACATGCGACAGACAAGTGTTGTGAAAACAGGAAATCAACAATGACAAGAGATTTGCTAAATCATCATTTCGCTATTACGTCATTTTACTACAATTCGCTAAAATAGTATGTCGCTTTTTCAACATGTTTTACAGTAAATCATATTTCAATGATTTTTCTTTTAATAAATGCAACTTTTTTCTATTGGAGATGTACTTCTAATATAGAAAATACAGTTTTTCTTATTTGTACTTCATGCCTCCAAGCATTATTTGATTCTGTATTTTCATACATTAGTACATGATTTCACACTGGTTACAGGGAAACATTTGGCAGGTCTAATTTATGAGTTGAATAATTTTGCTTTTGGCGTAAATTCAGTTCAAAGGGCAAATACTGTAAAATCCAATTTAATTAATTGTCGCATGTGTGGACATTCCAAGCGAATTAATTTTACAAATATCACCGACTTTCTGTCTCTGCCATTCGCAAATAAAATTTATTTTGTTTTATACAAATCAAAAATTCTTTAAATGAGACTCTCATTCAACATCTGAATAATAATAATACATCTAACATGCATGTTTTGTGTATTAACCTTTATAATGCATATATTAAAGAATTAACCTACCTGTCTTACTTGACATACATAAATAAGCATGTTCAATAAACATTCCTCATTCTATCATATGTGCGCGCCATTCATGTCATGTGGTGGTTTCACACTGATGATCTGAACTGAGATGAGAAGTAAAAGTGATTTCATTTTTTTTTTATGCATGTAGAAATATTTGCATGTGAATTTTTTTATAATTTGTCTTTTGGTCTGTTTTAATACTTGTAGGAACATAACATATTGGATGTACATCTATTTGGGGCCTTTATGTGTTTTTTCCTTGGTACCGTTTATGCATACATTCATTCCTGGATATCCTATCAATTTTGTCCAATCTGGTCCAGTAAACAGGCATGTATGGCACGGCTTGTACTTGCATCTTTATGTCTGTTTAGTCTTCTGTTTAGTATCCTTTGGTTTAGTAATTGTGGTGAATATTTTATTTGTTTTATTAGAAGCACATTGCCAATAGACCAACGAACCAAAACTTGCATTTATTTATTTATTTATCAATTTAACATTGATACTTCTCTGTCATTTACATAATCACTTGTGATACTTTATAGAGACAAAAAGGTATGCTGTAAAATGTTTAACATTCATAATTTGATATTTAAGGGCAATAGAACAATAATGCTTTAGAAACACTTCTTTATGAGGAAAATATTTTCAAAAGTCTGACTCCCTAAGATCCATGTGAAGGTCACTGACTCTTTAGAATACCATTGAAAGTCTCTGACTCCCTAAGATCCCTGTAAAAGCCACTGACTCTTTAGAATACTATTGAAAATATCTGATTCCCCAAGACCATAGTAAAAGTCGCTGACTTCCCAAGACACCTGTAAAAGCCACTGACTCTCTAGAATACTATTGAAAGTCTCTGACTCCCTAAGACTCCTGTGAAAGCCACTGACTCCCTAAGACTCCTGTGAAAGCCACTGACTCCCTAGAATACCATTGAAAGTCTCTGACTTCCTATGACCCCTGTAAAAGCCACTGACTCTCTAGAATACTATTTAAAGTCTCTGACTCCCTAAGACTCCTGTGAAAGCCACTGACTCCCTAGAATACCATTGAAAGTCTCTGACTCCCTAAGATCCCTGTAAAAGCCACTGACTCTTTAGAATACTATTGAAAATATCTGATTCCCCAAGACCATAGTAAAAGTCGCTGACTCCCTAAGACTCCTGTGAAAGCCACTGACTCCCTAGAATACCATTGAAAGTCTCTGACTTCCTATGACCCCTGTAAAAGCCACTGACTCTCTAGAATACTATTGAAAGTCTCTGACTCCCTAAGACACCTGTGAAAGCCACTGACTCTCTAGAAAACCACTGAAAGTCTCTGACTCCCTAAGACTCCTGTGAAAGCCACTGACTCTCTAGAAAGCCACTGAAAGTCTCTGACTCCCTAAGACTCCTGTGAAAGTCACTGTATCACATTATCTTAAAAATCCTATGAAATTTTCACTGCTACGAAATTTCATGATTTTCACTGACTCGCAAAATTCAGAAAAAACTTGTCTCTCATAAATTTAAAGCAGTTTACAGTATTGCAGATGTCTGGCTATTTGATATATTCTCCTTAAATGAATTTATTAGCATCTATATTTGCTGCTGTTGCACAATCAAAATGGGAAGGAGAAAAACCAACAAAATGGAGTCCTGAAGATGGAGTAAGTATAAATATAAATCTGCAAAAAATAAAAAAAGCAATAAGAAAGATGTTTTAAACCCAAACTGTGTTACTTTGCTGTGACTTTTAAGAGATCTCTTGTGAATTACAAGAACATTTCCTGCATGAACAAAGCTTTTCACAAATTTATTTTATTGCCACATATGTAAGAAATATCCATTTTTTTTTCTAGTTTTCAGCTCACTTGTTTGAATAAATATTTTAATTCTTTCATTCATGTCGTTCATGAACTGTGCCATTGAAGATGTACTAACAGTGTGTTGTTTGGATTTCTCCAATCAGGGTTTTCCAGAACATATTGTCAGCACGGTGTCTGAATGGATTCTAGCAGTTTCATTTCTTCTCTATTTTTTCACCTACATAAGAGAGTTCCAAAAGATTCGAATGGAAGCAAACATAAGACTCTACACTGAGGACATGATGCCAATTAATGATCCAGAAGTTTGACTAAATTGATGTTGTACTTGCTATTATTTTATGCACCATGCTTTGTAATTATTGTGGTAAACTGCAAATGTCACAAACATGCTGTGCTTGAAAGTGACTGCTTCGTCAATGGTTCATTAACAGATTATTTTTATGATGTAAAAATTGGTGTAGTATGAAATATCAAAATTCAAATATATATTATCACTAATTGGAATTGTTTTAAAACATATATAAGACATATAAATGTATTATAAAACACAATAGTTAGTTTTTATACTCAATTGTACAACCTGGACTGGGTGTTTTATGAACTAGTGCTTTCTCGGATTATATTAGGGGCTCATGGTGAAAATTAAGCCATCAAAACTAATGACCAGAAACTTACCAGTAAAACCTGGTGTAAGTTCATACACTTGATGATTGAGCAGTCCATGACTGGTGGGGGATGCTGTTCAGAGAGACCAGAGGGTGGCTATCTAAGGAAGTACGTTAATTGAAACTCCCTGTACAATTTTGCCTCTTCTGTTTCCCATTTGTTAGTTTCCCAGTGGTGTTGTTGCAATGTGGTATTGATGCTTCAAGTTTGAGTGGCTGGTCAATCCTGGTGACATGTCCAAATACAGTGATTCACCCAGTTTATATACCGGTATTTGGTTTGGGTGATGCAAAGATGTCATTACATCATTGAAATGAATACTTAACTGTTGGGTACAGGTGTTGGGTATTAGTCATGTCAATAGTAGAACCTGATGCATTGAAAATCCTGCTCCAAAAAAGCAAACTGTAGACTTGAACCTGCAGATGACTGTGATGTCTGTGTCAAAAAAAAGCACTAGGCTGCTGACTACTGGTTGATGCTGTAAACAGGCTGGTAATCCAGGCAACAGAATCCCTTATGTGTGCATCTAATGCAAATTAACTGATCCTGAGAATTATCTAGCATTTTAATTGGTACATTCAAATGCTATAGAAACATCTATCCAGTGCATATAATTTGTGGTTTGAATTGTCCTTAAAATGGGTTGTTTGTTTCAGAATGCATAGCATGCGAGGGTTTGTTCCAAAAATATAGCAGTAAAAGTATATTTTTCCCCATGATGCATAGCAGTAGTTGGTTGGCATATCCCATTATGCATAGCAGTAGATGGTTTGCTATCCCATGATGTATAGCAGTGGATGGTTTGCTATCCCATGATGCATAGCCAAAGATGGTTGGCTATCTCATGATGCATAGCCAAAGATGGTTGGCTATCCCATGATGTATAGCAGTAGATGGTTTGCTATCCCATGATGCATAGCATTAGATGGTTGGCTTATCCCATGATGCATAGCAGTAGATGGTTGGTGGTCCCATGATGCATAGCCAAAGATGGTTGGCTATCCCATGATGCATAGCCAAAGGTGCTGGCTATCCCATGATGCATAGCCAAATATGGTTGGCTATCCCATGATGTATAGCAGTAGATGGTTTGCTATCCCATGATGCATAGCAGTAGATGGTTTGCTATCCCATGATGTATAGCAGTAGATGGTTTGCTATCCCATGATGCATAGCCAAATATGGTTGGCTATCCCATGATGTATAACAGTAGATGGTTTGCTATCCCATGATGTATAGCAGTAGATGGTTTGCTATCCCATGATGCATATAGCAGTAGATGGTTTGCTATCCCATGATGCATAGCAGTAGATGGTTTGCTATCCCATGATGCATAGCAGTAGATGGTTTGCTATCCCATGATGCATAGCAGTAGATGGTTTGCTATCCCATGATGCATAGCAGTAAATAGTTGGTTTATCCCATGATGCATAGCAGTAGATGGTTTGCTATCCCACGATGCATAGCAGTAGATAGTTTGCTCTCCCATGATGTATAGCAGTAGATGGTTTGCTATCCCATGATGCATAGCCAAAGCTGGTTGGCTATCCCATGATGCATAGCCAAAGGTGCTGGCTATCCCATGATGCATAGCCAAAGGTGCTGGCTATCCCATGATACATAGCCAAATATGGTTGGCTCTCCCATGATGCATAGCAGTAGATAGTTTGCTATCCCATGATGTATAGCAGTAGATAGTTTGCTATCCCATGATGTATAGCAGTAGATAGTTTGCTATCCCATGATGTATAGCAGTAGATGGTTTGCTATCCCATGATGTATAGCAGTAGATGGTTTGCTATCCCATGATGCATAGCAGTAAATAGTTGGTTTATCCCATGATGTATATCAGTAGATGGTTTGCTATCCCATGATGCATAGCCAAAGATAGTTGGCTTTCCCATGATGCATAGCCAGAGGGTTGTCTATCTCATGATGTATAGCAGTAGATGGTTTGCTATCCCATGATGCATAGCCAAAGATGGTTTGCTATGCCATGATGTATATCAGTAGATGGTTTGCTATCCCATGATGCATAGCCAAAGATGGTTGGCTATCTCATGATGCATAGCAGTAGATGGTTTGCTATCCCATGATGCATAGCCAAAGATGGTTTGCTATCCCATGATGCATAGCAGTAGATGGTTGGCTTATCCCATGATGCATAGCAGTAGATGGTTGGCTATCCCATGATGCATAGCCAAAGATGGTTGGCTATCTCATGATGCATAGCAGTAGATGGTTTGCTATCCCATGATGCATAGCAGTAGATGGTTGGCTTATCCCATGATGCATAGCAGTAGATGGTTGGCTATCCCATAATGCATAGCAGTAGAACATCAGAAGAAGAATTGAGTAAAGGATTGAAATGAGTCATGCCCGTCACAGTACTGTGGTGTGGTGTAGAATTAAAATTAATGAAATAATGTAATCAATGTAAAATAAATATATTTCCAACTCTGGTGATTAATTATGTATTTAATTCTAATAACACTGGTGTTCAGTGTTAAGTTTGGGTTCCTATTTCTGAAGACCAGTCTTATTGAGCTCTATCCGGCGTAATATAAGTTGATGACCATTGTAAGAGCTGTGTTAATGGCTGTCAGAATCATGGTTATTGGCAGATGACGGCCATGTTTGCATGTCACCAATTCTGAAATTGTAGTGAATTTCACATTTTGTTTTGTTAGTATCAAGTTTATGTACATCTAATAATTTGATCAGTAGATCTGCCAAGCTGTGAATTAATGAATTTTGCCGAAATTCTGGTTTGTAAATATACTGTAATAAAATATTGCAATAAAATTTTATTTGTGTTACTAGTTGTGTAAAGTGGGTGGTGCTTGAATAAATTTCCTTTTGCAATAAGTTTTGCCCCACCACGCGAATATATGCAATCTGATTGGACAGCTATCTGGGTTCAAGTGTGATCGACTTCTAAATAACGCAATGTATTTAGCAGCAGTTACTGTATCTCCTATGAAGAACAAGGTAGTGAATTGGCCGTGATTGAGAGAACATTAAAGATACCTGGATTTAGTACTTTAGTTTTTCTACCAAATGGCTTCTATTGGCATTGAAAATTAAACCCTTCACATGTGTAGAGGAACCGTCTACAGCTTCTCAAGTATGATAGTGGTGGCATAAATTACATCAAAATTACAAACGCCTTCTTGGTGTTAGTATGTGTTGAAGAATTCATCCATGGTTATTTATTTTATCTAACTACCATTTGCTTAAAAGAAGATTAATAATCAATGGTAATGCGATATTTATGGTTAATTTATCCATTTATGCATGTTGTGAATTCTTTTTTGTTAATTTTTAAAACTGTTAAACTGTCATGGTTTGTGATAGATAAGACTGAGTTGTCAATAATCTGTCTCCAGGCTTCTTACTAATGTAAAATTCATCTGACTAAGTGTTCCATCATTACCTAATGCAATATGTATGAAATCTAGTTATTTTTAGTTGTGCATATTCATACATCAAGGGCTACCCTGAACTAGTTTTATTTGTACTTTGTTACTTTACTTTTATTAAACACATAAAATTCCCAAGGAGGAATTAAAATGGTTACATTAACACTAAACATAACTAGACTAATAATACAAAACACTAAGACTAAAGTAGTGATTAAAAAAAATAATAATAATCGAAATAAAAACTTTTGCTTGTGTAAAGTGTATGGTTAAGTTTTCTTTATACATTTAGTGACCACACTTTTGCTTGCCATGAACTGTTACAGTTCTCTTGTCTAATTTGGCTTACTATTTTCACACTAAAAGGAATTCAAATTTAAAAGTACATTGTATGGGTACATTATTGCAAACTCTCTTAGCAACAGCAAATCCATGGCAAGCTAGAGAATGTGACACAAACATTATCCCGGTATATATACGTAATGTACAACATCAAGTTATCGTTGTGATGGAATACCCGACAATATAACTTTTTATCCGAGGGCAATAAATGAGATGTGTAGCCAAATCCAGCACATAAACATTTAATACTGTCTGAAAAAATAAGAACAAATTATATCACAATAAACACTGCAATTACTACATCTCAATAACAAACTTACAAAGATTCAATTCTATATTCAAGCAGAAACAAAATTTTCCCCCTCCCCCACTGTAATTAATTCTTTTAAATACATTACGTTAATTATTCTAGTGTAAATATTGTGTCTTGACAAATATTGAGACAGACCTAAATTGGAAAGTGTTCCTCCATTTGTCACTGGTGTTGTATTTCGTGTCTGGCTTATAGAAAGAATAGCCTCAAACCTTTGCACAAAGTACACAAACTATAAAGTTGGAAAATCGATATCCAGTCTAGTTTTAAGTACCTCTAAACTGCATACAGTCTGGTAGTGCTGACATTTCAAGCTTGCTGTGTGTAGCATACATAACACATCTAACTGTTTTTACCACGATCAATGCTTATACTGCTGTGGACAATGTACAATCCCGTTTCTAGAAGTTTAGTTGTGTAGTTATTTTGTGCATTGAACATCTTGTTATTGCATGGGCACAGAACAGATACAAAATGTGACATGTAATTTCATTTCAGCAACATTTTATAAAGAGATATGACCAACTAATAATTTAAATCATCACAGTTAATTGTCACAGCGCGTTATTCAAGAACCAGCCTCCTATTTAATGTATTTTTTTTACAAACCAGTGAATTTAAAACCTCTTGAATATCCGTGACAACAACTTTGCAATAATTAAACCCAGTGAATAATTCTTTCACAGTATACACTGTAAAATTACTTCATTTTTTCAAGTATTTTGAATTTGATAATATGAAATAAACAAGACTGGATTGCCCCTGTAAATGATTTGTGATGTGTGCAATGAGTTGTCAAGATTTATGCTAATAATCTCATGAATATTAATTAGCTCATGAATATTAATGAACGACCGGCACTCAGGTTGGGCTGGGGAGAACCCTGGCTGCATCTAATATAAAATCTAGTGTAACTAAATAGCATAAAATGAATAAAAAATAACTACAACAGTTTATCATTAATTATACAAATATCACTACAATACCAAATAAACTTTTTGAGTTTGTTTGCTGCTAGACAAAGCTGTCCAGGTCAAAGATCATAGTCTGCAATTTATTGCTCAAAAGTACTACCATAATATACATGTACCATGCACATAAAATAAATGTCTATCACAACAATTTCAACTCCAATGGTGTTACTTCACGGTGGCTTTCAGTGATTTGTTCTGGTTACTGTATTTTTGCTTTGCCTGTAATGCAATGAAAAGTACCGGTAAAGATTTTGGTTTGTCAGTCTGGTGGCATTTTTAAAAATTTGTCCAATCTTTCCCAAACTTTTGTATATAGTTTTCAAAATATGCATTGGTAAGGTTGAACATAGAATGTACTTGGTATTTTAAAAACATTACTTAATCTATGTTGCACTTTGATGTAACATTGAATAACTATTTCAATATACTACTCTAGCCCTCCGAAATCTGTTACTTAAAGTTTAATTTTTTCTGCCAAACTTTGACAAATACAGATTTTAATCTGTATTAAATGTTGCCCCCAATAAATGTTGCATGATATACCAGCATTTTACTGTTTAGGGACATGTATTCAGTTCACGTTAAATTCTATGAGGGACTTGAGATTAACACAGTTTATGTAATTTTATTCTTGTATATGCTGGACTATACATATATATGTCTCACCTTTTTTCTTCTTATATTTCGGCCAGTAATTTTTACCACCTAAAAATTTTTATATTTATTGAGACTTCAGTATTAATTTTTCCAGAAAACACCCCCCCCCCCCCATCCCATTATTTGTTGACAGAGAACACAAAAACTGGTTTTACAGCAAAATCTGTTTTTAATTCACAGATGTGAAACATATCTCTCCTCATAAATTTGAATTTATTGTACAGACAAAGCCTAAAATAGCCCTACAAATCTCCCCAAGCATAGTCTGCAATTCATTGCTTTTTATGTCATTTCTTACAAACTGTTTAAAAACAAGACTGACTTAAATACATAGCATTTCAGAAAACATGAATTCATTTTATGGAAATTTAAGCCCCTCCTGCTACATTGAAATTGAAGAAAAAAATGCCTCTGTCAAATATGGCTGATTTACATGGAGTATAGATCCCATCAATTTGATTCAAAATGCCTAAAATTAATCGTTCGCAGACGTATATTTAGGAGAGTACTTGTAGTATCATCAATAAAGTTCAGGACGAACCATAGTGTTAAACATACTCATTTTCAGCAGAGAATATGTTTGCAATGTTTTGAAAGCCACACATGAAAGCAGTATTCGTCTGCTAAGGTATTGTCATTGGTAAAATGGTTTACCACCATCATTTGAAATTTATAAAACGTTTTATATTTTATATAAAAGACATTCTTGGCTTCCTGAAATGCTTTGTAATATCTTTGATTTAAAGTCAAGTAATACCAGTGAAAAAAATGTGTTAAAGTGAAGTGACGAATTATTATAACCAACTCATTAACCCACAAATGTAGGAATATTCAAAAATTGTGAAAATTAAAAACTTTCTGAAATGCAACAGAATTTCAAAAGTAATCCGAACGCTGTTTAAAGTACTCGCAATTAGATTGTTGCATAGTATATCCTCTGTCTTCAAAAGGAAAAACATGGAGCATAGCAGTACCTAATGAAATCTACTACAAATGTATAGTCATTCTTTCAATAGGTTCAGAGGTTTCTTGTTTCTGCAGATGTGCGTCTAGCAGTAAATCCTAATATAACTGAATTTCAGCTGCATTTCAAAACAACCATGTAATTAAGCTGAGCTGAATGCTTCAATATCAATATACCAGCATATGGTGTTACCCGTAATATAAATATGAATAACAAGAATAAGTTAACCAACAAAAGAGTTCTTGAAGTTATTGGTAGTTGTCAAAATTATAAATACAGTATCTATTATTATTATTAATAAATATAAATATTTATAAATGGTTTAAAACTCAAGACTGAAAAATAGCACATTATATGATACCATCCTGTCACTTATCTAGTGATCATTGCACGTTTCATGTAAACAATGTATTTTACACACGTTGTATACGTTGCTATGGTTCCCATATCAATTGCGATGACCACCATGCTTTAAAAGCTTTTTGGTTGAGTAAACTGATAATGAAGATTCTCTAGTTCATTGTGCATAAGGGAATAAAATTGGTAAGTATGATAAAGTTGTCTAACTTTTCCCCTGACAGCAGAGCTCATTTAGCAGGCTTTTCCCCTTTACTCCATAATAACTCATTGGCTGTCTACTTTTTTGAATACTGTGTGGAAAAGTACAATTTAGCTTCCTACTTTCTAGATTTGGCCTTTAAAACTAACTTTTAGGGAAAGCCCTGAAGTTTCTAGTTTAGTATCTAAGTTGAAATTTGTTTTCATGAAATGGGAAAACAAAATTTTATGTAAATATGATGCTAACTTGGCACAAATTAAATAAATAATTTATAAATACAACCATGTGACTTCAAACACCCTGTAATTAATGCATGTAACCAAATTCAAACATGGCTACAATTTAAATACTGTAAAACTGGCATTTAATTTCACTATTTTAATGTTTGGTTCTTTTCACTTGGTTTTAATTTCACTAAAATTGGCAGCGAAACAGTGAGTTCTATTGTTATTTGACATGTTCACATGTATTAAATTTAATGGACTTCACTTATCAGCAAAATTAAAATCCAGTGAATAATTAGTGCCTTTACAGTACTTTACATATTTTCTGAACTTCACAGAGATTAAAATAGTGAAACTTTATACAAACATTAAATCTAGAGAATTTAAGTCAAAATTCAGAGATTGATAGTTGAATTATCAAGATTACATTTGGTCTCTATATTAATAGCTAAAAGTTCAAAAAAAGACAAAGTCTTCGCAGAGGACAGACAGAAAATTGATTTGGGAAAATCTGATAGCAGTGAAAAGAGGTTTTTTATCAATTGATTTACGGAAAATAGAATTCTGGGGAATGTTATCAATGTATTATATTATCAAAACTCGGAATTCATAAAAGTATTCACAACAATGTATGAAAACAAATAAATACTAGTCATTATCTCAAAAAAACAATACAGCACTGGTACACTGAATTTTTTGAAAGGTTCTAAAATATATTATCCCTTTACATACTATTAGCAAATAAATTTGAATTCCCTGGGGGATATACAGCATGTAACGTGGCTCGTAAAAAATAATAATACTTATGAATACTACACATGTATTAAATTTTCGTTACTAGAAAAACTAGTGGTTTTAGTGATTTCAGAATTCTATGCCATTTTGAAAAGACAAAATTTTATAAAATTTACGCTCGATGTCGTTTTAATTTTCTCTCAAAAAATTCACAAAAATTTGTCAACTCCATGAAAAAAATAAACTATTGTATTGTCATTTGTTCATGTAGTCTTATCCGTCATTGTTAACGCAGCCTTCTCCGTCATTGTGTATCGTAGTACCGCTTTTTCATTGCTCTATATTTTCTCAACATGTAGAGTGCTTCTAACTCTTTGATAATGTACTCCCCTCTGCCAATAAGTTCATTTATTTGTTCTGGATCAGTCAATTCTTTATTCTTCATAAATGCACGATGACATCTCTCACGAAAATAGTCTGCTCCTTTAGGATATTCTCTCCCAAGAAAAATAAGCTGAATAAGAAATTGAACAATGTTAATGTAACTTCTGTTTGTAACAACCAATGCCCTTAATCATATTGAGTGAGTGCATATCATGCACATGTACTGTATTTGCTCTAATAGAAGCACATCTTCAATAGAAGTGCATATAAACACAAATTACATTTGTTGTATATTTGACCATAGACACTGTAATTTATCATATGGTACATGTATTTCGTATAACTAATTACACTCCCATAGATTCCTTGGATAATCATGTTACACCATATACATACTATAACAAGTAATTACATTACACAATTCTAGTGAGTTCTTAAGTACAGTGGCTCCTTGCTAAGTCACAGGTGTCGTGATCCAAGCAAAAACCGTGTTGACACCTCGCATCTCCTTCATTGACAACTGGTAGGTGTCAAGTTGTCTCCTCCAGCCCTTTAACGCCAAATTATATACACGATGTGATGAAACATTAGTTCTTTTACTTTAAAACTGCCAGCAAAACACAGTAGAATTTCTGGGAACCTTCCAACTACCTGCGACTTAGTCGAAACCACGACTTATTTAGGCATGACTTAGCGAGGGGTCACTGTATAACAAATCATCGTGCAATAAATCTCTCAGATATACATCTTTACTTGTGTTTACAAAATGGTTCAGAATGTGGAAGCTACAAATGCCATAAATAATAACATTATCAAGTGAGGTAAACTTCTAAACAAACAGGGTTTGAAATCCCATAGTCATTTTTACTGAAGTTGAAACAGCGCCCTCTATCTAGTGAAAGAATGTTAGTTCATGTTGGCTGAGAGAAAGCCATGTTCGTTCTGACTTCAGATCTGATGTAGAGAATGTACAAAATTTGAAATATAAGCAACAAATTTTAAATATCGATAAACAGCATTTATTCAAATTAAAGTATTCAATAGTGATTGGCTCAAGAGCTCAACACTGTCTTATGCCCTTTACATAATGTGTACACATGCCTTTCTGTGACACAGCAACTGTGACCGCCCACTTATTCATAATGAAACGTTTGCAGATTTGATAATGTTGCACTAACTCATTAATATTACATGTTTATAATTATAACTAACGATGACATCACAATACCATTTCTGGATTGGTCAATTTGAATTCTAATAGCCAATTTTGATTTATAAAACGTTTATAATGACCTCAGCTTTTTGCTCTTCACTGCATCAATGGTTACAGTCTTAATGATCAGTACTTGAAGGAAGTTACACAACAAAAAGATTGCACTGGTGAAGTGTATAAATGTTTCTCCCGAAAATAGGCCGTTTTTTGAGTCCAGATTGTACAATACAAGCCTTGTTTTCTTGAAATGGGAGTCAAAAGTGAAAACTTTTCAATTTATGAATAAATTATCGTTTGTTTTTACTCTACTTAAGATTTCTGTCATTTTAATAAGTTCATCAAATAATATGTATTGTTATGGGTATGCTAGATGAGAATCTTCTGTGAAAAAATTGAACTGTTACATTATTATTCACAGTGGTAAAGGCATTGTACTGTACTATTGGAAGACCTGCTATAGATTTAGAGTATGACTTTGTCGTTTGCAACCCACAAAAGAGATATTTCTTCCTTTGCATGGTTCAATCATAATGGGCTAGGTTCTGTACCAATTAAAATGGAGTCATTGATAGAGTGAAGAAAACAGTTTGACTTAGTCAAAACTTACCGGTACTAATTCATAAATGGACAATATATAATAGTAAATCACTACATGTATTTAGTTCTCCTAAGCTTCAAGGTCATAAATCTACTGTTCAAACCAAGCTGTTATCAAGAGTGATAGAAAGTTGGAACAATTTGCCAGACAATATTATTCAAGCTAAAACTGTGGACACTTTCAGGAATCACATGATGGTTGTGCCATAAGAAGGATTTAGCAGCTAAACACCCAATAATTACGAATCATACAACCAAAGAAATGTGCTGATTCAGCTCTGATAATGGCGACTGCTGAAGTGGGTTTGAATATCTACCTTTGTCAAATTACCACAGTAGTGTCATACCACAGTACCTCTGTATAGTTTTGAGTTTAAGAATGTTAGTATGTATATTAGTAGACAAAAGCCAGTAAGTACATAGATAGATACTACCGGTATATAAGTGTAAGATTTGAGACCTCTTACTCTCACCAATAATTTTACATAGTAACTAATACTCACATTTTTATAAAGCTGCTTTACAGCGTATCTCAGTTCATTGTTTGCCATGCTGAAAATGATGAGAACAACAACATTAAAATGGTGACAGGAAGTTAGAAACGTGCCACTAGTCAGCGTTTCCATAGGTCAATGTCCGACGTATAATTCGGACAACCAACACGACACATTCATTGTGTTAAGATGTCAAATGCATCAAAGTACTATTGTTTATTATGTTTCGACCGAAATTTACAAATAAGTTTTTTTTTTTCAGTCGAAAACAAATATGTGACATTGAGACATAATTTGAATTATTATTAAATAGTTTCTCGTCCACTCCGTTTTGTTTATGGATTCTTGACCTAATGGGTAATAATATAACAACGGAGTATTCAAATATATTCACTGACCTGGCTTACACTCGTTCAAAATAATTAGATTCGTAGCCAACCAATACGAGTACCCTGACGAGTACGTCGTTAATGTAATACCGTTACATGAATCCAGCTTCGCTTTTCGCTATGGCAGCCATGTTTGTTTATATGTCGTAAAGTGGCCAAATTCATCATACAGTGTTCATTCTTATCCGAATATGAGTTTCTGCTTTAAAATTGGCTTAAACAATATGAATACCCGAATATATGTGAAGATTTTAGATATTTCACAAGATTTCATCTACTGGTTGTGACTGAATAAGCATTCAAATCACTTTGCAGCAATAATGTCGCAAATATATTTAATTGCCGTAAAACAATCACATATGCGCAAACAGAAAAGGGCTTGTTGCCATCCAAAGCTGAAGAAGAGAGAAGCTAAACACAAACATGGTAAGATATTACTGAATTTTCAATATTTTAAGATATTTTTTGCTGCAAACGTTAATGACAGGCAGCTACAGTAAGCAATCAACTGTCATAGTACAATTTTGAATGTTTGTTATATTGTTTTTCATATTGAATACGACCGGCCTGTTTTTAGAATGCATTTTCTGCAAGCGCAGCCTCTCTGCTACATACATATGTAGCTTTGTAGAGAATTTTGACAGGTGCATGAACAGTTTTCAACAAGAATTTCTACACGATTATCGAATTTCAGTCGCTCGCAGAATAAACGGTACCCATGGGACATTCGTCAGACTTTCGATATTTCAGAAAATCTGACCATCACGCACATTTAATGAATGTGCACTACAGAATGCGCGAGATTACTTGTCAGAGTCTTGTCTACTTTGCCACGGGTAGGCTTGATTAACATGCAAGTTTTCCCTTGTTGCTGCCGGCCAAGAAAAAGTGTCTGGGGAAGATTAAATTTTACTTGAGGGATAGAGAATGAAGTGTGATGTATTTGAGTGTAACTTATTTTTTAACTGCAATGTATGTACATGTATATAAAACTGCATATATAAATCAATGCCCAGCAATAATGTGCATATATTTACAGAAAAAAGTTGAAATTTGATATCCACTTTAAAAAATGGAAAATATAAATATTTGCATTCAGCAAAATTTTTTCATGTTTGCTCAAACTGTAATATTTTAATATAGCATAATTGACATTTTAGTGCGTTCAATGTGTGTTCAACTCGTAGTTTCAACTCACAATTAAATTTAATTTATGTTTGGGCTTGTAGAATTCTGTTATCCTCACCAATAAAATTCTTAGACTTCTAGTGGAAGCCAGTTTAGTATAGGGAATTTAATTCTACTACAAAGTGGTGAATAGGAACAATTAATTTACTTTATGCATATTAAATTACATTATTTTCCTCTCAGTTTAATTTTCAAGGAACATTTTTAGAATTAATCTTTGAATAAAACATGCTATTGAGTCACCTGTAAATTAAAAAAAAATTCTTTGATGAAAAGTATGAATAATGTAGCAATACAACATATAATTTGCTGATGACAGAGTTTAAATAATGAAACATTGATTCAATCTGATAACTATAAAAGAATATATAAATGGCTAGTACTAAGTACTTTCAGACAGTATTGTACAAAATACTCATATGATACTACCCGGTATAAGAAAATTGAAGAAAAGAAAAGATAAGATTTTTCTTTAAATGGTTCCGTGATGAAAAGACACCTATAGAACAGTAGATGTGTTTTTTCTGTCAGCAAATTTTTTTTATAAATTTGAATTTATCAGCTTTAGTTCTTTAACAATTAAAAACAAATATTATTCTTATTATTAATTGATATTTATTGCAGTATTATTAATAATTTATAGCTGGCATGACCTCATTTTCATTTTTTTTTTTGATGGCCTCAAAGTGAAACGAAGAAAACCATCCATCCACATGCAATTGACTTATGTCATCATTTATTTCTTATCACTTTGGGACACCTGTTCAGGTTCAAATCTATTAAAATATGTGATGAAATCCACGGTTTAAGATCAAACCAAAGGTCACGGAATCAGACTGACAACAGGTGCACTTCTGACTTTCAATTCTTTCATTTACTCAAAATGGGGATGGGCTCAGTTGTATATTAGGTAGTCTAATTTCCACCTAAGAATGCTTATTCAGTTTGCTAATGTTCCAATTGAATTAAGTCATCTAGTTTGATTGCTCTGAAAGTAATCATTATTCAGGCTGATATTACCTGTAATTAGGGCGATGCGCAATAAGTACTCACACATGCCCTGCATTGTATCATTTACCACAACATGAAATACAAGCTGATCTTTGCTGCTGAATTTTATTGAAGTATAATAGCAGAGATTGTGCTCAGCTAGCATTTTTGAGAAGTGAGTCCTGGTTAAAAGCATATTTGTGAAATTGAAAATTCATTCTATGTGGTGAAAGTGGTGAACTTCCCAAAATGGAGTCCCCATTAATAATGCATGTCCTGGGAAAAGGAACTCGCAATTAACATGCATTACCCAGAAAAGAATATTCTAAATGAAATGTTAATGCTGTTGGTTAACCTAAGAATAATGAAACTGTCGAAGTTCATATGGTAATTTCATTTTCATTGGCTTTATTGTGTGATGCCAGCAAGTATGTATGCATGATCATCATGAACAATGTTCTATTTATTCTGCCTTGTAATTGCTTCCTTTAATTATAGAGGAAATTAGAATTAAAATTGGACATAAGATAGTCACTACAAAATGAATAACGCAGTTGAAATTATTTCTACATCCGGTGTATTACAATTATTTCCATAAAATCTCATCAGTCATCAAAATAAGAATTATGTACCTAGTATATTTTTTGTTAACATATGTTATGAATTTTTCTTGAAAGTGTTTTGTCTAGAAATTCTGTATTTCAAAAACTATATTGAATTATATATATTGCCATTGGTGGTTTCACCATTTGAATATTTGATGCGTTTTAAATTTTATCTTCCCAATAAAAATGAGTTGTAATGCATATTTTGATCCATAAATGACCATTTAATGAATGAAAACTACTTTCTAAAACTTTCACACTCATAAATGCATCCCTGTTGAATTTTTATCACATTTATGTTATGAATATGTTATTGTAAATTAGCAACATTCAACAAATATTGTCAGCCGAGCATTTGAAAAATTGACCACTACATTTGTATCTGCATTATTAATTGAATGAGGAATGTATTGTACATGTACTAGTATTTACTTCATTTATTAAAAATACTACTGTATTGACAGCTGTTTTTTTTTTCAAGTCTGCTTTTTTTGAATACTCACAAAAGATGTTCACTTTACCTTCATAATTGTTTATGCATCATTGATAGGCAAACATATTCAGACTGGTTGGAATTAATGTGATTGACAGCAAAGAATGGGTCACTTGGGTAATTACGTCTTGGTAGTTCACTGCATGTTTGCATATCTTGTCAGTTGTTTTCCCAGGATGATGATTGAACGATTGAGTGGAAATCCTTGCTACATAAGTTATAAAACTTATGGAATGATTCAAATATACTCTGAAGAATAATTATCATTCTTGCTTTATGATAGTCATATTGCCTTATCAGTAAACTTCAACTTTAGAATATTTTTTAAGTAATTTTATTTGATCAAAACAATAGGGTATGATTTATCGCAAAATAAAGATTAAGTTTTGGCAGCAAGCATAGCTATAATTGTTTGATGAATAATAAAGTTGCCAGCATGCATGCACTTGAAATTCCAAAACTTGCCATAATGTGGGTGTTATTAATTAGTAGATGAAAGTAAGATGTATTTAAAATTCAGAATATTAACTTCTTCCCTGGTAAATAGATATACTTTCATCACTCAATATATAAAGTAAGGCTATAGTAATTTTGCTACATGTATGATATATTTCAAACAAACTAGCACATGCATCATTACACCGATATGCAATAAACATTTTTAAAACTTGTTGGCTTGCCAATGAGAAATTATTTCCATTTAGTCCAAAATTAACAGATGTAAAATGTACAATGTAGGCACATGCATTTCAATTCCTGTAATGCCTGGCTTGTTTGATACCAGGATTATAATTTCCATAATTAGTAAGCAGATAGTCACACAAATCTGTCATGAGATGCAATCTCAAAAAGGGAATTTTGTTTTCTGTTGTTAAATGTTACTACATGTATTATGTTGTGTTTTCACTTGCATTTGACATATAAAAAAAATACACTGACTTTGGTATAGCTTACATGTAATTATCACAGTACCGGTAGTTAACAAATAAAGTAGGGGTATGGACTTAGCAGGTCATTTTGGTTCGCAGCATTAAGTTTAGTCAAAACAAATTCTGTCAGCAGGTTGATTTCTTTCATCTGCTTCGTTGAAAGTTTTTGACCCACTAAAATATTTGACCTATTAATATTAGAAAAGTACAGGCAGCGTCATAACTCCACTGTTGCCATATTTTGCCTAATAATATTCAGTATTATTACTGCAGTCTGACATATTCATAACTGTACTTTATGTTACAGATGTTGATGTAATAATATCATATAATATGTAATTGACAGTAAAATTCTTTCTGAAGGTTACATTTATGAAAATAAACTGTTCCTTCCTATTGCCATAATGTCTTACTTTTCTACATGGATTTGGCTTGCTTAGCATAGCAACCAATAATTAAATAAAGAAATATTATAGCTACAGGCTATTCTTTGTCTTCTGTGAGTTTCTGTTTTTAAATCTTTAAAATATTCCCCGGAAAACTATTTTTTTTTTATTTTCAAATCAACATTTTAAGCTCTGTAGTGTGATAATATTATTATTAATTTGATGCAGTGTAAAATAGATGTATAATATTTAGGGTTGTAATTGTCAAATTCCCCATTAAAGTTATAAAATGTAAAGATGTCTTCCCGTAGGATATTAATAAGGGCCTTCTTATAATATTGTCAAGGTAAATAAGCTTCACTGCTCTGCATGTAAATTTACATGTTGCCCTAGATTAATATTTTTGCTTTTACTGTAAAAGAAAAAAAATTCTCTGAAGGTCGGTTCATTTCCTGTGATGAATATTTTAAGATCTGTAATAAAAAAAAATGTATAAAATGTAATTTCTTCTAGTTGGAAATTTGATTTCTGTGTAGATTTTATTTATATGTCCCAGATGGATGTCTCAGTCTTGCAATATTGATGTCGTTGCTCATATACTTTGCCATCTTTGAAAAGTAAATCATCAATGCTTCCCACACCTATGTGACAGGTTTCATGATGTTCTATTTTATCATTTCAATGTTTAGTACTATTGTCCTTCTCTGAATGCTGTCAGTATTCCTTACCTGTAGAATATTTTTCCAAACGCAAAATTATTACACCCATGTTACTTAGAGTGACTTTGTTCATGAAGATGAACTTCTTATTTTCAAAAGACGAATTTAAATGGGTC